CAATATACCAGCTTAATATCATAATACTTTGTTACATTGATTTATAAAGCTGCTGAATATGAACACTATTTATAATCGTATTTAACAATGATGATGATAATATTGAGTGACTGAGTGAATGTCAAAGCACTGCTGAAAATGTCTTGTTGAAATTTATAGCGGTATATAAATCTGTGAAAAATTATATTACCTTTTCGAATTTCTTCAAGGCTATGATTACCATAATAACATAATAACAATAATATTATAATAGTGAATACAGTAACATAATACAAAACAAACAATAGTATGCAATAAAAAAAAACAAAATAACAAAAAAAAAACAAATAAGACTGCCAAGAGATAATGAAACTACTTTCTAATAACAAAACTTAAACTACAGTACACTCACTCCATAGAGTGTGTGTATAGTACCGAATGATAATACATGAAGGCCTTATATGGAAGATTTTTTTTTTTTTTTTCTTCTAGAATCAAGGGGTTAGTTTGAAAAAAAGTTTTTTTTTTACTTTGTTCTTTGACCTTTAACCAGTGAATTTAAATGCCTCTTTATTAGGTCAATATGTACCACTCCACTAAATTTTATGATCGATTCATTAGTTTTTGCATAATTCTGCTAACAAAAACAGTGATGAAGACATGACCTCTTTCTTAGGCGGAGTTAATAATTCAGTGTATACATACGGTATGAATTATGAAACATGTAGGCTGCTGGCACTGATACCTGATGATTAGTGCCTAAAATGTTTACAAAAACATAATGCAATAATAAGAAATTTATTATTATTGTAGATTTTCGGTATGTATTTCAGTCGCTCCTAGTTACTTTCCTATTCTTCCTTCTTCCTGGTCTACAATATTATTTATGCACTTGTCAATTGTATTCCTGCCCCCCCCCCCCGGACCCAGGCCATAGCGGGGCACTGGCCGGGACTGATCCGATGTACACATTCTTTTGTGTCCCCATGGTGCCGGGACATACCTAAAATTTACCCATAGATGTAACAGGCCTCGGGAGGCTGGGAATTTTACACATAGTAGCTGCAGTTTCAGGTGATTATGCCTAGCCTAGTGCTGTCAAACTGGGTGTGATCCTACCTAGTCTACTCTAGGCCTAGGCATTCAGTCAGCAACTATTGTGTTTTGGTAATTAAAAATTCGTCTACCGGTACTTTTGACCTACCATCATGGTTTCATTTTTTATAGATCATGGTTTAAATTACTTAATAAAAATTGAACCCAACCACACAGCACTGAGGTCCGAGGTGGCGGCGCGTGTGAGTGTGTTGCGTGAATATTTGTGAACCATGAATTTGACCTAGTTTTGCGTCAAAAATATGCCAGTACATGAGCCAATTATATTGCATTAATTATTGATAAAAATAATATATTAAAATTAATAAACCTAGGTTAAGACTAGGGCCTAGAACGTAACATAGAATTTTGTTAAAGATCGTGTGAATTGTATACTCTATATTTAACACAATTCAATCTTCCTATATTCAAAGCTGGAGTGCCAATCTAGGCCACTTAATTAGGCTTTCTTCACAAAGGCTTCTATGAGTGAATGGGTTGTTGTGGAGCAGGAAGTCAAGTTGTCCCTCACCACAGTACCGCCTGATTATAAATCGACGGGAAATCAACCAATAGCTACGGTATTATTGAGTGTATACATATTTGCTGCGTTGATTCTTATGAACTGTTTTCAAATTATGTGACAAATATGTGTGATGTGCCCATATAAGGACATGATTATGTCATATTTCACCCAAATGTGGACAGTACCACGTTTATTTGTCAGATGAAATTTGATAGTGTGGACGGAGTGTTGAGTACGAAAAGCATCATGGTATCTCTCCAGTGATTGGTCGGACCATCATCAGGAAGATGGAGGTTGATGTTTCAAAATATGATGGTTGAAACCTATTACACCTATCAATCAAGCAATTTATACAATGCTGAAATTATTTGCAAGCCTCTATGGTTAGTAATGGTCATAGGCTCTTTGACATTGACTTAAATTGACTCATGATCATTTATTACTATTACAATAACCTGATGCTGGTCCGAGTAATCAATCAATCAATCCATCAACATTTTTTTTTTCTAATAAAGTCAGATAATAAAATGTATTGTACATTGAAAGGCCAATTTTGAAAACAAGTTAAACTAAAAAGAAACATCAAAGAATATTAGGAATTTTCTGAAAGGCTTTTTAAATGTAGTCATTGTAAAAATATTGGTTGTCCAGTAGTCAGTTGGAGGACTAAATAATGACACAGATTAATACTTAAAAATGAGTGGAAAATTAACTTTAAAAAGCATGTAATTTACTCAGTTTTAAACACAAAAAAATATTTCAAACAATGGTTTATTGAAAATAATAACTAAATGATTAAATTATTTTTAAATTATTACGTTTTATAATTTTTGTAGTATAATTTTGTAATTATACATTTCAAATGTGATACAGTATGATTTACAAGAAAGTTAATCGACATGAATCTAGATGCGCAAATATTTTATAATCAAAGCAAAATAAAACATCTACCTGCTCTGTAATAAACTTAAGGATTAATTGAAAATAATATAAATTGAATTAATTATTCTATTATTAATGACATTTTGTTTTTTTAGGTAATAAATATTATAATCATTCATTTTAAACTGTTAAAATTCATAAGTATGGTGGTGTATGATTATCAGATATATTCTAGATGCCTAAATATTTTATCTGTATTTTTGCCACTGTATTTTTGCTGTAGCAAAAGCACCATTTATGAATGTTTCCAATGATTAATAATATTGTCTTTTAAATCATTTTTAACCTTGATTTAATTTTCAATTGATTTTCACTGCATGTTTACTTTCCTAGGATTAGCTTGTCATTGAAAATGCAGAAATAGTAATTTACATTCATAGCAATGCTCTGCAATAATACAAGAAATGGATTTGAATTTAATTGAATAATAATATTCCAATTTTTACAATACTCTATAAAAGCAGATAATGTATTGCTATATAACCAACCATATTATGAATAATGACCTTAAGTATGTTATATAATTTGAAATGATTTTAACCTTTGAACTATATGTATAAATAGTTGAATTATTGTCTATTATCGTTAATAAGTGCCAACGTCCTTAATTGATCATTATGATAGTTGATAATCAAGAAATATCCAACAACTAATTTGAGACCTTTATTGTCCTGTGACAGATATGCGTTGGCTTGGCGTTGGCCTTTATTGTCCAGCAGTATAATCAACCATATTATGAATAATGACCTTAAATACCTTATATAATTTGAAAGGATTTTAACCTGTGAACATATGTATAAATTGTGTATATATCAAGTTCCAACATCCTTAATTGATCATTACGGTAGTTGACAATCAAGAAATATATTTCAACATCTACTACTGTATATTTAACAAACAAAAAAGCTTTATTTTCACCTTTTAATTGTTCAGAAACAGCTTTCTGTTAAGTGAGTACTGAAATAAATAATAAAATACTTATCCGCGCTATTAACCCATCAGCTTGTGACAAAGCCATTACAGGAGAAATATGAGTGTCCATTATTATGATAATTATATAAAAAAAAAAAAAATCTAGGGCTTCTTGCTAACTGTTACGACACCATCTGTACTAATAGTCTACATATTCCCACACCTTTTTGTCTTGCTACCTTGCAACTGTATGATCTCACCACAACATTTCATTATCATCTGTTTGATTGTGCCATATGTTCCCTCTGGGATTATATTTGCAACCCTGCATTCGTTTTCATCTTGCCCCCACCTTGCCCTCACCATCTTGGATATTTCAACATTATCTGTTCTATATTAATCTTATTTATCTTTATGGCATATGGCACAGTTTGTAAGGCTTTCAATCGAAAGGTTGTGGGTTCGAGACCGGTGCTCACCACACTGCTTGTGCAACACACATATACCTCATCACTTGGGAGTATAAATGGGTATGGGTAGGAGATGAATGATTCAGCATGATATTACTACTGCTGAACTACAAACATGCACATACACAACTAGGAATATTTTACTTCTCATGGAGTGGAGGGTTTGCACACTATAAGATTGATTCTGTAAAAAAAAAAACATACGGCAAAAGAACATTCGCCTATGCTGTTTCATCGCTGTGGTAACGAATTGCCACTCTCTATCAAACTGTCTCCCTTTATTGATGTATTTAAGTTAAAACTGAAATCCCATCTCTTTAACTCTTTTTAGACCATCCCCACTTCGCATTTTCAATTTTTAAATCTTTCTCTAGTTGTACTCTGCGCTTTGATAATTTATTTGAAATTAGCACATTATAAATAGTTTATTATTATTATTATTATAGGATGGATTCTGTATCCAGTGGCCAGGGAAAAAAAGCACCTTAAGTTGTTCTTCAAAAATGGGTGTGCTATATAATATAAATCTTATAAAAGTAACACCAAATTCTGTCATACATATGTGATGGTACTTGAAATGTATTTATTATCATCTTGTTGCCCCACCTTTGATACTTCAACATTAGCTTAATTTGATACATTTCAACATCGTATTTGTCTGCCATACCCTCTGTTTCTGTCTAAACTTGCCCCATTCCACCCTTGTTGAACTTTCAACTTCATATCTCTTTGATCTACCAAACCTACTATTTTTTATATTTCATCATAGGAACCTGTTGACCCTACCATATTGTACTTATTCTTTCAATATTATATACTCCTTTGTAAGAAACGGTAACTTTCGCAACATTTGTTCAGTAGGGTGGATAAGGTAACTGTGTAATATGTCATACCGTCTGGGAATATAATGTCTACAAATATAATGTTATCATGGAATGATTTTCTAGTTAACATGCTAAGTGTAATACAGTATACTGTTACATACATGATGAAGGATAATTACAATATGTATACATTAATGATACAATCAATTATGTGTTCTGGAGACTTGGTAAGAAACGGTGGCTTTCACAATGTTTGTTCAGTAGGGCGGTTAATATAACAGTGTAAATGTGTCACGTTGTCTGAGAACATAATTTCTACAATATAAAGTTATCATGGATTTACTGGTTAACATGCCAAGTGTAATATACTGTTACCTACATGAAAGATATTACATTATATATACAATATTAATGATACAATCAATTATGTGTTCTGGAGACTTGCGTTTCTCTTTGATATTGAAGAAATTCTTGAAAACTGGTTTTTTAGTCATCAAACAACCAGCATGTATCTATATCATTTACAAATATGTTTATTTGTGGCTGGTACTTAAACTGATATTAAATATGATTATATTTACATAAAGCAGGTATCTCAGGGACTTCAACATAAAAACTTAGGGATTGTAAAAGTTACAGTTCATGGTATTCCTGCATTTTCAGATCACACCATTGAATCATAACCAATCAGTAATCAAGAATTCAGGTTGAGACCAAATAATAGAAAAAAAATTATTTCCTATCCAGATTTTCTATGAATATTCAACTAAATGCTGTAAAATTTCTACTTCCTAAGATTTAGTATGAGCAGGGAGCTCAGTTTGATCAATAGTTGTCAGTGTCTTAAAGGTGTCTTAGTGTTTTATTCTTTCACTTAAACACAGAATTGACATTTTATCCATGACATGACAGGAAGTGATTTCTTCAGTATAGACCTACTCAAAAAAACAATCTTTTTAATATCTGAATAGTGCAGTAACTTAGTGTAATTTTGTGCTCAGAGCCATTGTGCAATCGACAGGGGGGACTTGAGCTTGTAGGTCCGAGACTGGGGAAATGGTTTGAGAGGGTGTTCCCCTCTCAACTGTGTTCCCCTCTCAACTGAAATTTTTTCAAGAATAGGAGCCTCTGGATGGCCAGAAATGACACTCTCAGACTGTGACAGATATGCGTTGGCTTGGCGTTGGCCTATTTTTATATTTAAGCTCTGTCCGAAAGGCGGTTTGACCCGTCCGATGGGGGGGGGGATTGGTCAGTTAAATCAAGGAGCGTTCCCGATTGCGTCGGGAAAGCTACGCAGTGCAAGGATGAAGTGAAAACGCTGTAGCGCCTGTGTAGCGATTCTATGGAAACCATGCTTATCCTGCAAATTGAAGTTCACCAATCAGTCTAATAGTGGCCATGTATTTCTAATTATTCCTTTTGTGGAAATTTGTGGAAAAATTTTAATCCAAAAATAAATCAGTTGTAAATTACTTGATTACCTGTGACTAGTGGTTTAATGTACTCTAATTTCTCAGTACTCCCTGAACCATGTATACTGAGATTTATTGCTTTATTGTATGCAAAAAAAGTCGGCCATTATCGGCTGATGAAATCAACCCATTAGCCGTCTAGGCAAATTAAGGTTATTGTGGAAGGTTGAGTGGCTAGCTTCTTGTAGAAATCGTTTAATGTATTTTGTGTGTGTTTTCAACAGCACTAGTGCTTCTGCTTTTTGTCTACATATTTGCTGATAATATTAAGCCAATTAGCTGTTGGTATGGTTCTTGGTATTTAAAGGAACAATTAGAGCTTAGTAAAGAAAAAGATTTTAATGGGATTTGCCGAGGTGCAGTTGTTAGTTATGGTTTGTTCTTTTATGATCGCTGTCCAATAATTATGTCAGTGATTTGAGCAATCTTGATGATAGACAGCATTATTAGAAAACTATTAAGACCTGTTTATTCAATTATTATTCTGCATCTCATCGCTATAAAAATTCACGGTAGTAGAAGTAAATGACGTTGCGAATATGCTAAGGTTAGTGGAAAGCTTTCGTCTTGGTGTTAAAGCCAGGCTCCAGAGAAAAAAAAAACTTATTTTTCTAAGACACAAAACATTTTTGATAAAAAACTGGCAAACGGTTAATGAGATTCAGATTTTTTTTATATTTAAAAAAGGGGGAGGGGGAAGATGGAAGAATGGATGGTTACGCCCCTTTTTTCCTCAGTTTTTAAATATTCAAAAATCTGTATCTCATTAAATGTTCTTGAGTTTTTCGTCAAATATGCTTTTTGTGTCTTCGGACAACATATCAAAAAAGTTTTTCCCTCCAGAGCCTGGTATTAAAGAGGACTAGAGGGTGTGTTGACAAGAGAGAAGTGCGAAAATGAGCAGCTTGTCTTCCAATCTCAAGGTCCTGGGTTCAATTCCTGTGATGTAAACAGGGTTTTCTCATGCCACCAAAAGCAAAACCACTCCTTTAAGCCTTATAGGAGACATCCTGTGTGTGTGTTTGTCTGTGAAGGAATATGATATAAATGAAAAAAATATATACTTGTTTGTACAATGTGAGATTGCATGCAAGAGGCTTATTGTGTATGGATAGAGGCTTATGTATATTGTGATTGGATGGATGACTGTACATTAGCTCTTGAGCACCATTGGAGAATATGAGCCTTATATGTGTGTACAGAAGGCACAATGAATAAATAAAAATAACCAGAAACATAGAGGTAAATCAATTAATTCATAAATAAGCAATCTCATTTCACATCATTTTAGCTCAAGAAATACATAATATTTGCAATGCTACTATACACCTCCCACCACTTATTGCATTTTCCCCTCAGTTATAATCAATTTTTGGTAATAATAGATGTCAGACATTAATAGGTGTCATCATTTTTATGCCTGTGTAAAGGACCATTTACTGTGTTTTTGATTTGCCATAAAACCGTTATGATACAGTACTACTATAGACAGTAAATAAATGATGGATTTCGTGAAGCACATCATGGAAACCCACAAAGGTGTGAACTCTTATTCCCAGTGGTGTCCGTCCGGTGGTAAATTTCCCAGGCCTACAGCTACAACTAGTTTTTCTGAAGAGTACTGTGTTCTCTTTAATATGCAAATGGGCCATATAGCCATGGTTCTGAGGGTACACTGTTTTTGAGCCCTTAAGTTGACACATTTAAGTACACACTAGGCTTCAGAAATTTGCCGACAGGCGGATCAACCAAGGGGCAGACAAGGGCCTCGGTCCGGGTCTTGGAATAAAAATTCGTTGTAGGGTTCATGAGGAGAGTTTTTATCACAATAATGTGGCATTTAGACCACAATATTAGTGAATGGCAATCAAAATAACGTTATTTTGATAGGCAAATTATTTTTTTGGTCCTAAAACCTACAGTGTGATGGGGTCCAGGTCTGTCCGACAAGGGAGAAATGCCCTTCCTGACCCCTCCCCTCGGTGCCACCACTACATTCAAAGAGAGCAATGGTAAGGTTGAACCAGGGACCACTTTTGTGTGAGGATCTCAGTTCAGCACACACACACACAGACTACCACTAAGTTAGCTGACAAATCTAGCGCTGCTCTTAATTATTCAAATGTTTTCATTATTCTTAATGCATTGTTCAGTTTTTAAATAACTTTTCCCATAAAAGTCAAATATTATTATATGTTCTCATATTAATTTCATATTATACTGTACTATGTTATCGATCATTATTTGTTGGCTGCAACAATAAATTCATATAGATAGGTATCAATTTTTCACTAAAGTATATACAGTAGTTTGTAGATAATATGCAATTTTTAGGAGCAATCCGTACAATATATGTAATTAAAGTTAAACTAAATTATGATGTAAATCATCTTGATAAATACATAAAAACAAACATGAATGAATGAAATGGATTAAATGAAGCCATAATTGTAGTATCTAGTTAGTGATGTAATGGTGTGGCAAGATAGATCATGTTATTGTTGGATGAGGATGAAGTTTATATTGAATTGCATTGTAACATGAAGTTGTACTTTTCTGGGTTTTCTTCCAGTTTATTTGCATCCTATTGATCAAGATACTCACAGGAAATATGAAGGAGATGGAAGACATTAGAGAAGATAATGACGGAGCTTTTGCTGTTGAAAAACTTGAGACGAATGGCAAGAGCAATGGCAATGGGTATAATATTTATTCTTTTCTGTATTTTACTGTATTTCTTGATTACTACTTATGAATATTTTTATCTTGATCAAATCATCCTGGTTGTCTTGATCACGATTATCCTGATCATTTTGACCAAGGTTATTCTGATCATCTTGATCAGGATATGATCATCTTGTTCAAGGTCATCCTGATCCTCATGATCAAGATCATCCGAATTATCTTGATCAAGATCATCTTGAACAAGATCATCCTGATCGTCTTAAAGATCATCCTGATCAACTTAGATCATCCAACTCATCTTGGCGAGATTATCCAACTCATCTTGATTAAGATTATACTAATCATGAGCAAGATCATCTTATTCATCTTCATCAAGATCATGTTAATTATTTTAATCAAGATTGTTTTAATGTCTGTGATCATCATAATTATCTTGGTCCATTATCATCATCATTGTAATCATTTTGTCCTAATATCGATCATCATTGTGACTATCCTAATAATCATTATTTTCATCAGCTTTGTTTATATCATCTTTCTTATCAACATTGACAACATCATCACCACCATCTTGGACATCATTATTATTCATTGTTGTCTTCATCTTCATCATTACCATCCTAATAACCATCAAAACAATTAACAATTATCACCATTAACATCTTCATCTTCATCATGCTCGTCGCTTTGCCAACATCCTTGGCATCATTACAATTATCACCATCTTAGTTTTATGATAACCATCAGTATTATCATCATCATCTTTATCTTATCTTCTTCATCATCATCATTTTCATCTTCTTCATATTATTCAGCACTAACCTACTAACACATAATAATAATAATATATTTATTTATTTATTTATTTATTCAGCTTTAGGCACTAGGGCCAAGCATATGCCAAACAGTGAACTAAATCACTCTTCAAAGTGGCCATCCCATCACAAGACAACAGGGGCTGTATGGACCAGTACACCGGGGTAACCCCCTACTCATCTCAAATGATGTACTGGGTTCTTTATAGTGCAAATGAGCCAATTGTGTACACTGGGCCTACTTATTATAGTCCTTATCTGAGAAGACTTGTTCCCCTCCAGAACCATTGGAGAGCGGGCCATTCGAACCAGCACCGATATTATGCCTTTGAGTCGCCCCTCCCTTAACCGCTTGGCCATTCAATAATAATAATATAATAATAATAATAATAATAATAATAATAATAATAATAATAATAATAACTTGCAATAATAACTTATAATAAAAAATTATAATAATTCAATTCAATTCAACTTTTATTGTCAAACACAGTGAGGACATGGTTTGAAATTCTTCTTGTTTGTTCACAGTTAAAATGTAAGTTAAAACAAGACACAAAAGATAAAATCACAGAGGAAACAGCAAAAATTTAAAAAACCTACTAACACATAATAATAATAATATATTTATTTATTTATTTATTTATTCAGCTTTAGGCACTAGGGCCAAGCATATGCCAAACAGTGAACTAAATCACTCTTCAAAGTGGCCATCCCATCACAAGACAACAGGGGCTGTATGGACCAGTACACCGGGGTAACCCCCTACTCATCTCAAATGATGTACTGGGTTCTTTATAGTGCAAATGAGCCAATTGTGTACACTGGGCCTACTTATTATAGTCCTTATCTGAGAAGACTTGTTCCCCTCCAGAACCATTGGAGAGCGGGCCATTCGAACCAGCACCGATATTATGCGTTTGAGTCACCCCTGCCTTAACCACTCGGCCATTCAATAATAATAATAATATAATAATAATAATAACTTATAATAAAAAATTATAATAATAACTTATAATAAAAACTTATAATAACTTATAATAAAACTAAATGATTTTTTTTTTTTTTTATATTTAGAATTGCAAATGGAAACGGCTTGAAGAAGCGCCATGTTGGTGGCAACGGCACCACACATTCAAATCATGCAACTAGTTAAATGATAAGTAAATTTTCATTGGTGGAGAGAAAAACGTATCATGTAACATGTAATGCAAGTCTTCTATTAAGGAGGTTAACTGTTATTGTAAAGTCAAATTCAGTGATTATTTAATCAGTTGATTGATTAATTTTGTTGATTAATTAATCCATTGATTACAAAATCCTGCATGGCTCCTCCACACTAACTCCCGGTTTTGGCACCGTTTTTTAAAAAGAGCCATTGTCACTTATCGTCGGCTGCGATGCATCCAGATACAAGGTCATCCGCTTGTTTGAACTCTCCTGGTTCGTGGAAAACTTAAGTTTTGTGTAATATACGATTCAATTTTCTATACTCGGTTTAAGTACATATTTTCAAATAGTAATTGTATATTTCTCTGAACTTTCATCATCACCATTGTAAAGACAAGGTATTCAATCCCAGCCACTTAAAATCTTACAGTAGTAAAATCAATCTGAGCAATTACTAACACATTTGTATTTAACTAAAGCTGAGATACGACTGTCACTATTAAGGGTATTTCTATACTGCAAGTGTTACTCCCTTTAGAAGCATAGAACTTACTATGTTATTGGCGATGCTCTACTAGTGTGAGCGGCACTTCTTGATGTATTAAAAAAAAGTAGAAAGTACTTCAACATGATTAGCACAAGGTTTCCTATAAAAAGTATTCCCAAAAGTAATGTTAAGTTATGCTAACTTCCTAAAATTTGAGTAATACTTACTATACATGATAAGCACATGCTTTTTGGTGAGTGTCCCTCAAGCCTAGATGATACTTAGTATTACATGAAAATCACACATGAATTAGTATTCATAAAATTGGAGTGGTACTCCACTTACGGTACTAAATGAAAAATCACATGCATTATAGTGAGTACCCTCAAATTGGAGTTATACTTCTTGTGCCTCCGATGAGCGCATGCCTTATGATGAGTATTTCTCAAGTTGAGTATCCCTCATATTTTTGGAGTACATTCCTTATGAAGAGTATCATTGAAATTGTGTGGTACTTGTACATGTGAATAATAAGCACATGCTATGAAAAACACATGAGTTTTATCCAGTTAACTTGATAATTATCCATAACAGTGCTAGATCACCTTTCATGAAACATGTTTATGATTTAAGTTTTACTTATTTGTATATATGATAAAGTTTAACAATGGGAGAAAATTTATGTCTACGAAGGCAAACCAAAGTGAGTGTGTAACTTATTATATTTAGCAATCGTGCTATCCATGTGAGTTGAATGAGTAATTTGCTTTACATTTTGTGACAACTCTTTTAAACATGGTGACGTTTACTTACGCCAATATGTGATAACGTCGAGCGATGGCGTGCTTTTTAAAATTACATTGCCGGTAATACGCAGTCACTATATTACCACTTCTAATGTTGGCACATGGTATCAATGGCATGGTCAGTTTAATGAAGATGAGATCATTCTTTAAGCATTGGCACATATTCTTTTTAAGAATCAAAAGGTAGTATCAGGAATGATCTTAATATTAAATGATTGATATTATTACAGGCACAGCATGCCTATGTATTATTTATAATGTCTTGATTACACTGGATTTATACAAAAACATATATATGCACATGCACTTAGCAGCCATCGGATAGAAACCAACAGCCAATCATTGCAAGAGATTTTTAAAATTCCAAATCTAAAAAAAAACCTCTTATAGAAATGTTACCGTTATAGGAGCATTTGTTGGCATTCAAAAGGCAGAACTATTAGATCTCCTACTTAGATTTTCTCTGATATAGCTTCATTATATAATACATGTATATAAATAATTTTTATGCTAGAATGATAGGAACAAACTGGATTATATTTTAGTTTGACAATCGATCAATGGGGAACAGATGTCAATTTGGGTTTTGTTTTACATGGTGCTAGAATTTCCAGATTTTTAAAAGGTAAAAGTCATTTGTACAATCTCAAAATTTACTCCAATTTAAATACTATAATTATGACGGTATCATGGTTATTGGTACATAGCCATTGGTTTTATCATTGTGATTGTAACCGTAGTAACAAACTTGTATATTTACCAATACTTTATTTGCAAGACTGCCAGTTACACTATGGGTATTGTGGGATACAAGGAGTAAAAAAAAAAAAAAAAGAAAGACGTGAAAATTTGCTCAATACTTGTTAAACATATTTCTAAAACAATAGTTCATACAAGATGAAAAAGCCAAATTCAAAAATTTAAGTTTCACCTTTGACCTCCCAAAATGACTGTTCCAAATGCGCAATTATTGAGCTTTTTTAACAATACAAAAACACAAATTTGAATGTCTGAATCTTGAAATGCAAACTTTTGGAGGCAAAGAAATTTGATGTTTCATTTTGAAACAAAGTGCACGATTTCAAATGCACACAAATATTCTTTAAAAATATTTAAAAATTATACAGTTTTGTAAAGATAATAATAGATAACCATGTATTTATATGCAAAATATCTTCCAAGATTATATACAAAACTGTTCTTTTTTTCTGACTTCTCTTGTAAAATAAAACTTGGTTTATTATTTACTGTTGTTAGGAGGTACTGTATATTTATTTAATATCGTGACTACTTTTAATCTTAATTCATTGATATAATTTTTTTTTTGTTTTTTGTTTGATTGAGTTGTATATAAGTTAAATCTCAATTAAAATTGAATGAAATATTTTTTGTTAACATATTTACTAATTAGGAAAATGATTTGGGAATAGGTGAATGGTTTTCTTGAATATTAATGGGTAAAGTGTGAGAAATTTTTATGTGTAAAAATGTTAAATCCTTGATTTATATATACCTACGTGAGGAATGAACCTGACGTTAGCTAACTATTAGCTGGTAAAAAATTTCAGCAGGAAGGTCCCTACTAGTTGAGGGCCTAAATGTCAGCTTAAGTGTTCTGAGCACCAACAAGCAGTTGCCTAGGCATTTACAGAGAATGCCTGAGCACCAGTAAGGTCTGCATAAGCACTTCCAACTGAGGGGTGTCACTGTGTTTGAGCACCTCAGTACCATTTATACCACTGAAACTTGTAGGCCTAGGGGTTTGTTTTTTTTTTTTAAGTCTTTTCTTAAGTTTATGTTCATGACAAGGCAATTGTTGATGTTCTCTTATGGTTATGACACAATTGGCACTGTCTAATAACTCTAACAAAAACTGCATACAATTGATTAATTCAGTAATTTTCAAAATACTAATTTTTTGTGGTTATGATGTATACTATTGGTCTTACTGATATTATCAAGGAAAATGAAAAAATAATTATCAATAAACTGTAAAAGGTGGTGAAATAATTGAAAGCAAATTTTAAAGGTTTAATTGTAAAACTAAATATTTAAAATTTATATTATGTGATTATGTTATTGCATTCATTTAGTATATTTATGAATAGTATCCCAAAAAATCAATATAATTATTTTTATGGTGTGAACTAATTATATTCACAGTCTGTTTAAAAAGAAATTTGAATTAATTTACAATTCCATCTCAGTGTACTGATAAAAATCTCTCCATCATCAAAAATATTTCAACAAATCAAGTATCGACATGATCTTCCACCCACCCCCATTTAATTATTGTTGCCATCTATTGTCCAAATTCCTCATATCAAATGACTTGCAACATAAATGGGTATCTATAATGAACACTTCCTGGTTCATTGATTTTACTACCATTTTTTATTTGATATGTTAATCTGGGAAGGGGGGGAAGGTGGTTTCTCATAATAATTGTAAATTAATTCATATTTTTATAAAATGTGATCGCAGATATATGTTGTCAGGTTTTCTGATAATTTTTATTGAAATTCTGTGATTATGATTCTCACATTTTAAGCACCATATGCACTAAAAGTCAAATGTATTGTGTTAATATTTTATTTTATATTATTATTGTTGTTATTATTTTTATTATTTTCAATGTTACTGTTATCAATTGTTATTTTTATTACCTGTCATTAATAATTGTTACCAACATTACTATGTGACAATTTATATTACCAAATAGCTTGCACTGACGTATCGTGTATATACAGCCTATGTTGTGCGCATTTCTGTTCATAACAATTTTTTTATGGAATAAGTTGCTACAATGTTACAGATTGTTCTTCCTATTGGTAATTAATAATAAATTTTTGGATTCAAAATAGTAAAATTTAATTATTGAAGTGTAATAGAGATGCTGATCTAAAAAAAAAACAAAGATAAACCATCTGTGCTAATCTAATAAACTTTATTAAAATTGCTTAGTTTGTATACGTAATAGCTTATTAAGAACATTTTTAATTTTCAATTTAAATAAAACTGCATTGATAATAATTCCTCACAAAAGCATAGTTAAAGCTGTTTTTTATATTATTTTCAAATTTGCTGGTAATCAAGTTTAGGGGTTTTCTTAGTAATACCTTAATAAATTGTAATACCCTAATACCTTAAATTTGGGAAAGATATCAAAATAAATAAACAGAATAAAATAAATCATCAAAAAATGAAATTATTTGAATCATTTGAAGTTTGTGACATTTAAATGTGAAATTCAATGTTGTAATTATTGTCTTTACCCCACAGTAAGTTAAATTTTATTCTAGCATAAAAAAAATGAAAATGAATGAATATGTTGAATAGCTCACTTAAAGAATAAAATTAATTATTATCTTCCAAAGAAACACACGTCAAACCAAATACATTTTCAGGAATCTACAGTATAAATGATTTTACTACAAAAATCCTTAAATTGACTACCAGCTTATTTAAAGGTTTATATGGAACAGTGTTATTAAGTAATGTATGTTTATTGAAAAGGAATATATGTTCTAATTTAAATTGAAAGTTATTAATTTAGCCTACTTAACCAAATAAAGCAAATTAAATTTTTTTTTGCATGTCATTCACAGACAATATATTGTTAAATCAACAGTTTTTATAAGTTTTGTAAAGATTGACTCATTACCATGGTGATTAAATTTGATTATTTTTGTTCTAATGGTTGTACAGAGGTGATTGATCAACAGAATTATGTTTAATCATCAAACTATAGTAGATTATAGAAATGATATTATCTATAATTTTTTTAAGTTTGGTAAAAGATTATCACAATTATTTGTGATATATCTTGTCACAGAGTGAATAAATGTTCTAAACTGTTTAAACATAGAAATAAAAATATATACCATGATGCACTCGCTGTTTCTTACTACATTATTGTTTTTGTAAAAATGTTATATTCAACAGAGCAGTATGCATTTCTGTTTTGTTATGAATATTCATTTATGAATGGAAAAATGTTGATTTTTAACACGATTTCTATGTGTGACTTTGTTTAAAGGTACACAATTAAACACTATTATAATTGTAGTCTACACATAATTGATTATAACTTGGATTGTACCTCAAGATGTGAACTAATGTTAAGGAAAGAACCCTTCAAAACTAAAACTAATAAAATTTTAACATATTTAGACTATATGACCTTGATTGGGAGTTGCATTTGAAGGTCATATCATAGTTGTGTATTCCGTTGGCGGTGTAGATATCACGATTTTTAAGCCTGCTGCATAACAGTTCATTCAGCTCAGCTACCAACATTTGATGCACTCCTAGATACCAAACAATTACTAGTATGTATTCATTGGCCAATGCCTCATCATACATTTGTTCTCAAGTATGTTGCTCATTTATTTTTTGACCAACAGCTTCTAATGAAAACTTCTTTCAGCTGAGTTTGGCTCTCGAGATAAAACAGAAAAGTGATATTTTTCCCGCATTACGAATTACCTTGCAATACAATAAAAGTTAAAATGGCTATTTCACTCAATCTGTCTTGTGAGGCAAGATTTTCTTTTAGAATTACATGCATATGTCCCTATCTTTTAAGCTGCCTCCGTTTGTATGCGAGGCTGGAAGCTGAGCTTGCGCGCAGCAGGCTTAAATATGGAACGCATAAAACTTGTATGTTGAAGATGTATTTAATGGTATTCAAATCTTGTTCCTGTCTCTGATGTACATGAATTGTGTCCAAGTGGTGATTTAATGTCAATTTAACTTTTGTATTAGAATTACATTTTTTGGGTCCAATAAATGCTGTTAATTGTGAATAGTTTGTATTTTGCGTTGTTTGATTTGCTGACCTATTGACCAATGGTATACATTGATAATACAGTCGAATGGCTGATCATTTTAATGCAGGGCCACCGCAACATACAGCCTTATCGGTGCTGGTTTGAATGTCACACTAGTCTATGGTTCTGGTGGTGGAACAAGTCTTCTTGAACATGGAATATAAACTGTAGCCCCGGCGTACACAATTGGCTCATGTGCACTTTGAAGAATTCAGTATATCCTATCGAGTAATGGGGTTACTCCTGTATACTAGTCTATATAGCCCTTGATGTGACATAAGAGTAACTGGTACTGGTTTACCAGGTAGACGAGACACAAAGTCACCCTTAGGGGAGAAGAAGTTAATCTACGTGCTGGTCCATTACTGGTATAAAGTGCTATATAAATCCACCTACACATCACATAATGGTGAGATTAGTATGGCACTAAAAGTGTGTGACAGAGCAAAAGCACTTATATGTAATTACATTGAGCGAGTTAGTGGCATGCAGTGGAGGATCCAAGAGTTGGTAAGAGGGGCCCAGGGAGGAACTTTTACAGGTGGAGGGTTTAGACCCACCCATAGTGAAGCTGAGGTACGAAAATTGATTATGATATCGCACCTCTAGATGGTTGGAAATGGCACTCTCAGACTTAAATATAATTTACTTTTTTCCTTTTTTTTTTTTTTTTATTCATTTAGAAAAAATTTAGTCGGGCCAGGGTCCCTTGAATCCGCCACTTAATTGAAAAGCACATTATCAATAATTACTCCTTTAAAAATCTAATTATTATTGAGGGCCTGCTGGTCTGTTTTTTTCTTCAAATGTATTATAGAAAATCATTTTTAATTAATTGCCAATTCCCCGACTAAAAAATAAATTGGGCGTGCTCGGGCGTCGCTCAAAACCTCTCGAAAGTGTTCCAGGGGGAAATCAAACTGGACGGTCTCTCATGTTTGACCGTACTGTATTAAATACATATTTCACCAATCGCAGATATTTTATTGATTATGTTGGCATTAAAACACAGATTAAATATATACAGAAATGTAAATTGATGTAAACAAAAATGTTTACTTAACTTTTTTTTCGTTAGCGGCAAACGGACAGTGCAGAAATTTAGCATATAGTTTTTATTTGCCGTATATTGAATCGATTAGTTTTAGTGATAAGAGGTAGTCTATGAATACAGCTACCCCCACAACAGTCTTTGTTAGTTCTATGATTGGACACAAAATAATAGTTAGAAAGTTGGACGAGAGGGATGGGTGGGGGGGTTGTCATATTTGAGCCACGTTTTACTAACTCCAATAATATGAAAAAGTAAATTAAGTAGTGTTAGAAGCTGTTTTATTTTATCGAGATTTTTAAAATACATCCGATGTTAAAATGGATAGTGGAAAGTCAGTCAGTCAATTATGAATAGGGAGCTCATTTGGATCAAAATATTGAAAAGAGCTTTTAGTATTTGAAGAGAATTTGGAATCAGGGTCGATATTAGAAGTACAATCATTGAGAGTATTCAGAAATGGAGAGAAAAATAAGTTGGATAATTGGTAAAAATTCGAAGTGCTGCTACAAGAACTAAAATCCAAATTGAACATAACACACACATAAGTTACATAAAAATCAAAGTTTATTTCCCACTATAGAAAGAGAAAAATACTTGAAAAAGAAGTGACTAGGATACATTGAAAAGCTCAAAAAGAAAAAAAAGAATAAAAAATATGCATGGAAGATTGTCTACTAATGGTATAACAAGCTGAACAACAGAAACACCAACATGAACATGATACCAACGTGGTAGTAGTAAGATTCTCAAGAAATTATATATATATATATATATATATATATATATAGGCCTATATATATATATTATATATGTGTGTGTGTGTAATGTAACAAGCAGTGTATACTTGCATATATATTATATATATATACATTATATATATATATACATTATATATATAATGCACAAAAATATATACATCAATAACACCACTTTGAAGCGTCAACTTTTATTATCTTCGTCGTCTTCATTGGCTGCCTGTTAAGCAACGTGTACACTTTATTTTTTTTTTTTTTCGTGTGTAAGTCTCTTAATTGTTCATCGCCACAGTACATTAATGACCTCCTAAAATTGCGATCAACTATACATGCAGTCGAATACGTAAATTAGTTCAACCACTGTACATTTTCCTTCTGGTCGGTTAAAAACCTATTTTGATAAATCCTTCACTGTTGTTGCCTCAAAGTTATGGAACAAAGTCTCTAAATTTTTAAGGTCTTCTCTAACTCTTGCCCTTTCTAAATCCTGGCTTAAATCATATTTTTTTCTCACAATTCTAATTTGTTTTGTTCTTGTTTTTATACTGTTTGTTTTCTTTAATTTTTGTCTTTGACACTGGATTTGAAGGCCTATAGAGATATTGCATTGTAGTATGCGCTATATAAATGGAGGACCATGCCATGACCAAGACTATATGATTTCTACAAAATATATTTAACAATTTTTTTTTAACCAAGTATCGACACGTCTCTCATCGTTTGTATGTTTCATTATACCTCTTTACAACCAACAATTTTGGAGGTTTTCATTCAATGGTTATGCTTTTAAACTTTGGAATAATCTTCCAATTGACAAGAGATATTTCAAATTATGTAATATAAGCTGTATTGTATTGTATTTTCATATAAGTTTGTCAGTGCGAGCAAAGAATTTCCCAAACGGGATTAATGAAGGTTTTTTCTTTTCTTATCTTATATCTTATCTTAATCTAGGTACGAGGTACTTGTTTGTCTAACTGTCACTCTTCTGCACATTCTTTTTTATGTTTAATTGTCATAATAGAGGTCTTTGTTTTCGTAACCGCAAGGGAAAGGCGCTATATAAATACCCATTACTGTACCAGTACTTACCAGTATATAAACTTCAAAGCTCTTAACAATAAAATACTAGGGCCCATGTTCCGTACTCACGCGAATAAGCGCCCCGTTTGAATAAGCGCCCACCTAACATGAAAACTATCTCAACCTGCCCCGTTTGAGTAAGTGTCCCTCCTAATTTGATTAAGCGCCCCTCGATGTTTATTTATTTCTTTAAAACAATATCATGTGATTCTTTTTAGCAAGCCAATAATGCAATCAATCTTGGGACTGTCTTTATCGTGATTTAAATTTAAATTTCCTTTCTTTCCTCCACTGTGTGCTGCCGGAACAACGACGTTACCTTGAGTAAGGAAAAGGTGAGACCACAACTGAAAACTACAATTAACCATCATCCAGCAAAAATTAAACAGTCGAAAAAAGGTGAGTTTTCAAAAACGTTTTATATGATTCAACGGAGCTATGTTTGATATGATCTGGAATTTAAGTAGACCTACAGTGGTATCCTAGATATGACATGGGTTGTAGCAATTGTATTCCCCTATAATAGTACTGATTCTGAAGGATATAGACGTTTAGAAATGCTCCTATACAAATTACCAGTACTTTGGACACAGTTGCTAACTTACAATTTTGTAATTAAATATTTTTATGAGAAATTCCTGTCAATTAACAGACAGTGAATGTATTTGCTGTATATTTTTACATACAAAGATTTAATTATTTTTTTTCTGTTAATTAAGTGAAAGTTTTTTTTACTTCCATCTGATTTCGATCGTTTTAAATAAGCTACGGTATTCAATTTTTTTAATTGGGTAGACAGGCTTTAATATAAACAGTACGACATATAATAATCAATGTTTATTGCTATATAAATTATAAATTTATGCCTATTACTTTTATTTATATGGAATATGAACGAAATGTTTGTGAGAAATCAACATTATAACAATACCGTACATAGAATTTTCTTCTGACTCATTACTTCAGTACTCAAATAACTGACGAGATTCAACCTGCTTTTATACAAAAAACATGCTGTACGTAAAATGTGTCTAGGCATAGGGATATTATACAGTAATTACAATACTAAACATTAGTCCATTAATTATCACTGTGTCGACACTCTCTTGACCAAATCAAGAGATTTTGGCCTACGAACTACAGTATTATACCGTAGCTTTCACACCACAGGCAATTTCATGTTCCACAAGCAGCGAACACTGCTTTAGTCCGCGACTCGCGAGGGATGAGTCGGCATGTATATTATTCGTATTATATCGGTTATTATTTGCAAAAAAAGAGAATTAGAAACGGTCGACCATTTTCTATTTGATTGTGAAGGTTGATTGTTTGATTGTGAAGGTCTCTATTAGAAATGCATGTTTTGAAAATTTGAAAACTGACTTGTGTAAAATTAATAGGTACTTTTGGGACATTTTCTTAGAAGGTTCATGTGAATTTAGGCACCACTTACTTTTAGATAAAGTTGTTGATGCATACCAGAATATTGAAATTTGTAACATATGTGATAACCATTGTAAAACATATTTAATAAAAGCAATGACTGAAAGAACTGAACTAATGAAAAACATTACCACCAATATTTAATTTTTACGTTATTTACTGTAATTATAAACTTATATTTTTTGTCATTTAATTTATTTATTTACTTTATATTCTGTAATTGAATTCTCATTTTCTTTTTTTTTTTGACATTAAGTTATTCCTTAATTACTACAGAATAATGAGAGTATTTGTTTTGTTTGTCCAGTATTTTTTCTTTACTCATTTATCTTTTCAATAATTCATTTTTATATGTTGTCAGTTGTTGTTTTGTAACTGTTGTACAGGTCGAACCTCTCCTGCGCGAGAGTGTTCCTCTGTTATAAAAGAGAGAACCAATAAATCTTATCTTAGTCTTATCGGTTCACCTAAAATAGCGCCCTCTGTAATTTTGTATTTGCCTGCGTCTGGACATGTTAGAGGTCTATAGTAATAAATATGTTATAAATAATAATAATCAATAATGTATTTACAAAAAAAATTAAACATATGTTAACAAAATAATTATATGAATTATATATATTTTAAACTTACTATCCTAACTAAATATTAATTGATTAGTAAATTTAAAATAAATTATAGTACCGGTACTGTAAATAAATAATATAGATATGAACACATATATAAGTAATTATACACAATTATAAATAGTTAATATTTATTTTATTAACAATAACATAATACATTTAAAAATTAAAAATGTATATAAACGAATTATTTATTTCATATTTATATTTTTATTATTTGAAATTTACTATAACTAATATTTATTACCGTAATTAATATAAATTTATTAAGTACTCTTTAAAAACAATAATTAAATATTAAAATACAAAGAAATCTAAATATAAATCTTGTCACTTTCATGTTTCACTTAATTTTCGTTGTCAATAATTAATTCTTGCATTCTATACTTTATCATTTCAGGTTAAACTGAAAACAAAGACATGGAAGCCTACATTTTGTAATGTACCTCCAGTAAACAGATCAAACACAACTCAGTACCGTACTTTGAAATTCAATTATACAGCAGTGCAGGAACTTTGTGGGATGTATGTTTAAATTCTGCCTCACCAATACACATAGAATTCCATTCCATAACTATGGCAAACAAAAAAGTCAAGAAGCTGCAAAGAAATGGACAAAATATCTGGCGCAACACCCCAAAACATAATTTCACAATAAAGTAAACGAAACTATTTGAAGAACCTCCACCATTAACCCCACCAAAAAAATCTCATGCTAAGTTATTGGTTTCATTTTTTAAAGTAGCCTAAGTTGTCAATTCATAGACATGATTAGAATGATAGAATGTTTATGTACCTGCATATTTTATGGAAACTTATAATTTCTAAATTGTGTTATATTTAAAGCCAGACGAAAAGGCGAAAATGAAAATAAAAAGTTTTGCTTTTAAATTTGTATTATTAAGTTGACTTTTTTCGAAAACAATATGCATGCATGTTTTTCCTCTTGTTCATAAATCATTGCTTATAAAGACATCATAAATACAAGTTATTTTAAAATTTCTGTTGAAATTAGTACTATTTAATAAACAAAAAATAAAATGGGTTTTTTTTTTCACTATCCCGAAGCAGACCTCACCTTCATCACAGAAATTTAAACGATAATCAAGATTAAAGTGTCCTTTATTCGGTTGAAATTTAAAACAACATTAACAATAGTAATACATTAAAACATGGTATACCAACAAAATAAACACAAAAACAACATTCAGTAGCTACATGTACCCTCAGCTACCTATTTTTCTATTCACGACGAGGATAAGTGGAGAAACAAAAAACAAAAAATAAAATGGGTTTTTTTTTCACTATCCCGAAGCAGACCTCACCTTCATCACAGAAATTTAAACGATAATCAAGATTAAAGTGTCCTTTATTCGGTTGAAATTTAAAACAACATTAACGATAGTAATACATTAAAATATGGTATACCAACAAAATAAACACAAAAACAACATTCAGTAGCTACATGTACCCTCAGCTACCTATTTTTCTATTCACTACGAGGATAAGTTATTTTGCTATATTGTCGTTTATTGTCATCATTTACTCCATCTTCAAGCTGACATCCAGCATCATCGATATGAAATCCCTGGCACTCTGTCTGTCGCCGACATCGCATCGCGCATCTCATGTACGAAGCATCCATAGGCCTAGTTACTCCACGATTCTCCACAGATTGGAAATAAATCGGAAGGTCTATAAAGGAATAATAAAGTTTACGGCTTTACACACGCACACATGTACGTTCCCACGCATAGTATACCGTACTACATTTTGCAACTCAATTACAAAATAGTTTGGAGGTTCAAAATGTAAGAATGTTTAATATTGATTTAATTTATATATACCTATACATACATACATAAATATATATATTCTGTAAAAAATGATAATCCAATTTAGCTTTTATGAAGCGTAGGGATATCTTCTCATACTTCCTAAGCAAACAAATTGGCAGGTCTTCCGAACTAAAATCCTTAATGATGGAACCAAACTAAGGATTTAATTGTAAACATGTTTCGGGTGTTCTCTCACCCATCATCAGTACAAACGGTACTGATGATGGGTGAGAGAGAACACCCGAAACATGTCTCTCACCCATCATCCGTACTGTTTGTACTGATGATGGGTGAGAGAGAAGACCCGAAACATGTTTACAATTAAAATGTGTTGTATTTCTCATCAGTTTGCGTCCGTTTGGTTCCATCATTAAGGATTTTAGTTCGGAAGACCTGCCAATTTGTTTGCTTAGGAAGGATGAGAGATGTGTATAAAACGATAGTAAGTGACCTCTTGGAACATAAATGTATTAGCAACCAATATGTCAAGAGCTTCTGCTATCTTCTTCAGGGTTGACAAACGTATCACTAATGTACAAAACAACTTTCGTATATTTAACACTAAATGGTCATGCAAATCACTGACAAATGTAAGAACAAAAGAACAGGGGAAAACAAAATGCTGGAGCGATCAACCAAATAACCGGTAAAAAGCAAGGGGTCGGAGTGGAATATTGGTGAGCGGACATAAAATATGGGACGCAAAAGGCGCACGAACATAAGGCGGGAGAAAATGGAATAACGGGCAAAGCGAAGGGGAAACCAACCAACCAAGGAACAAAAGCAATCAGAGACAGTCAAATGGGTGAACAATTACTTATATTAAAGGTGGAATGTAAAGCTAAAAGCCAGATAGAAAGTCTAGATCTTTGTTCACGCCATGGGTGTGGGTCTTAAGTTTAGTTATCCAATTGCATGGCCGGCGTAACCGGGGGCCCGGGCCCTCCACTTTTTGGCAGAACATATATAATGTCTATGGAGATTCTTGTATGATCGGAAAGAAATGCAAGAAAAGAAAGAGGGGAGAGGGAGGGGAAATAGAGTGTTTATCCAGTCCCTGACCGAGTTAGATTTTCTCGCAATTATTGGCGGATCTGGGGAATCAGGGGTCCTGACCTCCTTCCATTGGCAATAAAAAGAATTCTAGAATTTCAGGACCCGTGAGCTGATATTTTTATTTTTTTTTTTGATACAATAAGAAAATTAGAAGTCGGGAAAGCTCATTTCCCGCCATCTAGGAATCAACATTTTCTTGGAGGAGGACCCCGACCAATTTTTATTTTTAAAGGTTCATCGATGATTCATGGAAAAAAGGCCTATTTAATGCCCAGTTCAGACTAGGTGGATAAACCCGGCTCAACTCACCGGGTTTATCCCCCTGCCAGTCTGAACTAGGTGGCAAAGTTAAACCGGGCTTAACGTTGAGCCGGGCTTAATATAGGCCAAACATCTTTATTTCGTTGTGGAGCGAATTCACTTCGAATTAAAATACTTCAAGTGAGCCTATTAAATTGATAGTAATTATTTGAAACATGTTGAATTATTTTTTTTTTAAATGAATAAATTTCCATTTCAATAATATTTCAATTTAAAGTTATCGTAGTTATTTACGTACATTCCCGCCAATTCACCAACTAAACTAATCAAGATAATCAATTAATATTATTAAATATATGTTTAATTTATTTCTATTCACAACACTTAGTAGCCTACCACTTACCAAATTCACAAATATATCTATCAATAATTCTAGTGGTAGCAGTCAGGTCATATAGGCCTTTGTAACCATCATCGATCTTAACCCGAACCCCTAAAAATTTACTAGTCCCTCCATCAGGTTGCGATGGACCCCATGTAATAATAGAAGAATCAAAAGCCTCTCCAGTTTCCCACTTCCAGTTTCCATCTACATGCCGATCATACCCCGCCTGGAGTGATAATCCGATCGCATAGAAACCGACTGGAAAGTCATTCATGTACTCAAGGACAGCAGCTAGTTCATCGGCTGTTGTGATGCTTGCAAGGTACCCACTTGATGATTCACAGGTATGTTTCAGATTTAACCAGGTATGTCGTTCATCACCAACTCTGGCAGTGTACTTAGATTCGCCTGAAAGAGGGATTCATGAAAATTTAATCATAATTATCATTATCAACAGTCACAATTATAGTCCTATTTGATTGCTATACATTATTGTATAGTATATCTATTAATAATAACATACAAATTAGGTTCAGTTATATATAATTATGTAGGCCTATATTCAATTATATATCTGCCATTTATATAAAGGGAAATGATAAGCAAATTTTAGCAACAAATGATTTTATAAACATATCAGGCAAGTTCCTTAAGAGTTGTGTGAAAAATGGTTTTGGCGGGATTCGAACCTGCGACCTCCCGTTGACATGGCGAGCGTCATACCTCTACTGCAATCTACAGAGAACTCTTGGTATTCACATATTCTGCAGCTATCCTGATTACACTTTAACGTACAACTGATATACGCTCTCACAAAGTGAGTCTGTGATAAGGCCAGATTGGTAGCTAATATATATACAGTGGTGTATATATATATATATATCATTGACATTATAACAAATGATAACTTTAAGTATAAAGTGTGTACATATGTAATAATATTGATAAGGCCTATATAAAAAAAACCAAACTACCGGCGTTTCAGTGAACCGGGTTCCCTACCCTGTGGTTCAAGCGCCCAGGACAAACTTCTCTGGTGGGGTTCATGGGGAGCATTTTATTGTTTACAATTTTATACCATAATAGGGATTGGCATTTATATGGTTTTATTTAAACATGTAAATAACTCAAATTGACACCACTGAGTAATAACACAACTGTTTATGTCTGTACTTATTTTCAACTGATTATTATATATTCATTTATATTTGTAGTTCGTTAATCGCGATCTCAGTCACATCAGAATTATATGCACGCGTTTATATTACGTACGTGAAGGACACTACATCCTCACCACGTATAAAACAAATAAATAATTAGTAACAAATGTAAACCTTGATAATGAACATATTCCTTAAGGGCTCACTTGCATTGAAACATTCCATAAGGTCCGTTTAATATCTATTTAAGATGAAAGAAATGTTAACCATTCATTGATATTAATTACATCTATTTTATATTTATTAGATGTCAACTGAGACTAAAATAGCTCATTGATTGTTTATGTTGATTATTTAAAAAACATAGCCATCCAAGTACTTTGGTGGCTTCCGAACATTTGTTGGACGTGTAGTAGACATTGGAGTGTCAGTGTCCCGTCTACTTTGGTTCTCGGACACTATTTATTTCGAATGGATCTTTTTCCTTTTCAATTTCCTTCAGCGATCTGCTTGCGTAAGTACTCAACCCTCTTGTCCTAGCTGCGCGCGTCTGCTATAACATCAATCGCCTTTTCAGGATCGTAAAAACTCACCAACGTATCACCAGTCAGTTTCTGTTTTAACTTCTCAAATGCACATGTCTGGTCTTTGGATCATTCCCACTTAACTCCATTTCTGGTAAGGCGTCTTAGAAGCTCGGTTATCGTATCAAAACCTTTAATGAATCGTGATCAATAGTTGTCTTTCCAAGAAGATTTCGGACTTCAGATGCATTCTTTGGTGGCTGAGTATTTCGGGTAGCGTCGTTTTATTGGGTCTGGCGATACAAGACCAAAAAACTCAATGCGCTTAACCTCGAAATCACATTTCGCTTCATTCACTGTAAGACCACTGTCAAAATAGTCGTGTTTCATGTACTCAATGTCATTTTCTTGCTTAGCATTTGGACCAGATCAGAAACACATAATGCCATGGATCACTGATGTTTTTAGCCCCTTTCACGTCTTTGATAACATTCCAGTGGCGGATTCAAGGGGGTCCAGCAGGCCCGGCCCCCTAAAGTTTTTAAAATTTGAAAAAAAAATGAGAAAAAAAGAAAATTCTAAGAGTGCCATTTCCGACCATCCAGAGGTGCCATAATCATAAATGTCTTACCTCAGCCATAACCATGTGGAGCTGAGGTAGCATAGACCCTCCATCTGTGGAAGTCCCATGAAGTATGTTAAAATGCCTATCTGACCCGGAAGAGTGTGGACGTATTCGCTCAAAAACAACAAAGTGATTTATTGCTTTCTCTACCCTGTTCCCTACCCTGTTCATATTTTATGAATTCCCGATTTTTTATATTTTTGACGTCTACCCATCTCATTTTTTGTGGTAAAAATGTAGTATTTTCAATACCTAATAATATAGGCTTTTTCATTGTGCGCTAGACCTACATTTATTTCTTTTATGTTTAAATTTATTAATGTTTTATTTACCTTGTTCTATAATTTTACATACGGTAGTCTATTGACATATGCGGTGAAAATCTGAAACACCACGTGGTTGGAAGCGGCACGTTTCACATCTAGGCTATGTGTATGTTCAATTTTAGGGATTTATTTTACTCCGACCTCCATTTATTTACGATTCTTAAAATTTTAATCATATTAACGAGCGTTAACCCGTAGTATAATTAATGACATTTCCACGGTGTTTTTTAATTTGATTGATTTAATTTTGTATAGATCAGTCTCCTTAACATATCAAAGTTGATATTCATCGTTAGTCCATCAACATTTTTGATAGACTACAGAACATTTGAAAATAAGAACACTGAATAGTGTTTGCTCTCAAAACCAGTGGCGGATTGTTTTAGCACCCCCCCCCCCAAATCTTGGTCCACTTCCCACAAATTCGCACCCACCCAACAAAAATCATACGTACGGGCCTGTTTACAAACAATACTAAAATATTCATGTTAGTTATATATCCTTGGTGATTTTGCTAGTTTACGAAAGAGAAATTTTAAGAAAAAATGCATCCCCAAAATTCAAAAACTTTTGTAACATTTTCTAAAATTATCAATAAATAGATAGATACATAAAAGCTTATCTGGATGATGTAACATCTGTAAGACAAATAATTAAGGGGCTACATGAAAATGCTAGGGAAATTGGCGTAGTGGTTGCAGCTAAGTCCATCAGTCTTAAGAATGTTGTAGCATTAATCTATACTCCCTGCGAGTATAGTACGGAAGCACCTAAGTGCCATCCTATACTTGACGACTTGTCACGATAATTTATCTTGTCAAATTATCCTGTCAAGTCGACATAACATCCATATCATGTCGACATGCACAGATAGGTTTCCTGCCATGTCGACCTATCAACTTTTAAAAGTTGCCATAGAAAAGCACATGTCGTCATGACCATATAGATTATTTTGCCAAGTCGACATAATTAAAATTATATGTTTTCATGGCGAGATGGATTATCTTACCAAATTGGCTTCACAAAAAGTACATGTCGTCATGGCAAGATAAATTATTTTGCCAAGTTGACAAACAAAACAATCTTTTAACAACAACTGATTATATTTTAGTGTCAATTAACACCAATAGCGTATCTAGAAGTCTTGAAATGCGGATGCTGATGCAAGGGCGTCGGAAGCGGTCCGGCTAATCTGGTTTTGGCCGGACCAATAATTTACAACTCAATTCGTTTGTAAGCCAAATTGTACGTTCTTTGAAGCAATCTCTTCTTTAAAACCAGAGGATCCACTAATTAGTCTTAAATAAAACAAAAAGACAGTAACTCCGAAAAGAGACAGAGACATTTTGAGATTCAACGTTTCGATCTATTTGATCATTTTCAAGAATACTGGTGAGAAAATATCACCCATACATATATGTTTATAATATTGTACTAAAAATGGTTTAATCAATAGATTACCTAGATTATATAACAATCTTAGCAAAGAAGATAATTCCATAGATGTATTTCATAATAGTGTAGAAGTATATAAAAAGAAGATCAAATGTATTTTTCATATAGGCCTACTAGAGTAAGTTTTGTTATCTTTATTGTGACTATTTAAATTATTTGTATCTGTTTATTTGTATCAGTTTTTTGTTTCCATTCTGTAAAATTAAAAATGTACGGCCTTAGTAATTATGCACTAAAGTGGTTTCGAAGCTATTTATCTGAAAGACTTCAATTCACCGAAATAGGTATTACTAAATCCAATTCCCAAACTATTAAATGCGGCGTCCCTCAAGGGTCGATAATCGCCCCCCCCCCCCGCTTTTCTCGTTTATATAAACGATCTTCCCAGTGCGATAAATAAATGCAAAGTCAGCATGTATGCCGACGATACGATTGTGTATTATGCATCTAATAATTAAAATGAAATTATAGAAACGATAAACAAAGATCTTGAATGTATATATACATGGCTGAAATCAAATAAGTTAAGTCTCAATGTAACTAAATCCGAATTCATAGTACTGGGCTCAAGACAAAGACTTGCCCACAATAGTGACTTGAATTCTACTGTTCAGATAATAGCAACCCCGTTCCAAGAGTGCATAATGCAAAGCATCTTGGAATTATACTTGATGAAAATTTGACATGGGAATCTCACATTACCCGCATCAGAGGAAAGGTTCTAAAAGGCCTTCATATGTTAATTATATGTCGTAGTATGTTCCCAAAAGGAATTCTAATAAATATTGCTAATGCCATTATTATATCTCATTTAACATATTGTATTTCGGTATGGGGAAACTGCGGATTAACATTCATGAAAAAATTACAAACATTCCAAATAGGACAGTAAGAATTACATGTGGTCTAATTTGGGACTGAATTCAGCAAACTGGATATCTTTAACAAAAAGAAACGAACTTGAATGCTTAATTATCGTATTTAAAATTTAAACTGAAAGATCACCAACATACCTGAAAAATTTAGTTCAATACAATAATCCCAATTATAATTTTCGTCATGGTAATCCAAATCTGTTTATCCCAAAACCCAAAACCGAATGTATTAGACGAGCATTTCATATAAAGGTTCAATCTTATGGAATAATTTAAAGTGTGATCACAAAAATCCGAATATGCTCTGCCGCCTATAGCCTTTTAATTGATTTTAAGCAATGCAATTAACATTTATTTCCATACGAAATTTTCAAAATATCCAGTGGCGGATACAGTAATTTGAAATAGAGCTGGGCCCAGAGAGGGACTTTTACAGATGGAGA